TATTTTTTTGGTTTGGTTAGCATGTGCCTACATCTTACATGTTTTAGGGTAATAGTATGTTGGGAAATGATGGTGATAAATGAATTGTCTTAATAAAAAATGTCCTATAAATAGTTTTCTCATGAACCAATGCATTGTGTGTGTTCATTCTTGTTCCCATTAGGATTACCCCATCCATTCTGTAGAAGACAGACACAAGTTGGCTGCTCAGGGAAAATTTGTAACGACTGAATTTGAGCCATGCTTTGATGCTGCTGACTTTATTCGAGCTGGAAGAGATATTTTTGCACAGAGAAGCCAGGTTGATAAAGGATGCCTCTGAAATTCCACACATTTTGTTATTGTCTTTTTTTATTTCCAAATTCAAGTATTTCCATCCTATTTTTAGTTTCCTGATTTATGTCTTCCTTTTGTTTTCAGGTTACAAACTACCTGGGCATTGAATGGATGCGTAGGCATCTTGCTCCACACTACAAAGTGCATATCATCTCCTTTAAAGATCCTAATCCAATGCATATTGATGCCACCTTCAATATCATTGGACCTGGTCTTGTGCTTTCCAACCCGGACCGACCGTGTCACCAGGTAAGGAAGTTGTTAGGACTCTGGAAAAGCAATAGAGTCTAGCAATAGAAGTCATTGCCACTTTTATTTTAAGCACTTCCATGAATCCTAATGGTTTTAAATGACAAATTCAGCAATATTCAACATTGTTATAATTGAAATTAGATTGCTTGTTATATTTACTACAAGATGTCCAACACTCAGACATATACAGTGTAGTGTCATCAGACTTTGGCTGTGCTGTGAGAGCCTCAAGCTTGTGCACATATGTATGTGTCTTTTTTTAAACAAAGTAGTATTACAATAGCTCCCTTTCATCCACGGGGATACATTCCAAGACCCCCTGTGGATGCCTAAAACCATGGATAGTACTGAACCCTATATATATACTATATTTTCCCTATACATATATATACCTATAGTAGTTTAATTTATATAATAGGCACAGAAAGAAATCAACAATAAAACTAATAATAAAATAGAACAATGATAACAGTATACTGTAACCAAAGTTATGTGAATGTGGTCTCTTTCTCTCTCAAAATACCTGGAGTTTTCCATTTAATATTTTCAGACCATAGTTGACCTCAGGTAACTGAAATCCCAGAAAGCAAAACCATGGGTAAGGTTCCAATTGCAGCTGCATTGCAAACAAGATGATCCCTGCATGTTTGAGGCAGTGCCACTGCCCCTGGGCAGTGGGTATCTTCCTTCTCTAGTGGGTCAGGCCTCCTTCAGCCAGCTCCACCCCAGGGGGAGGAGCAGAGCCGCTGCATTACAACTGATCTGTCCCTATCACCTGAGCCTCTTACTTCTGCCTGTTGCCCTCTACTTCCAATTGGGTGGTTGGTGAGTGATTTTGTTATTTGCTAGGCTTTAGTACATGTTTTTAAAATCACTATTTTACCATGTCACTCTTCATTTTTATCCCATAAATTTAGACAAAATGACCAAGATTAGTTATTCATTTCAATATAATTCATTGCTATACTACTAGTAAGTGGGCAAGTGAACATAGGGACAGCTGAGTTATAATAAATAGGTCACTAAGGATAATTAGGGTGCTTAAGGAGTACAACCCTAACATTTGTATTTATACCCTGGTCATAGATACAAAGTGATGGACTATGAAGTGGATGGACTATGGGATTGACAGACACATTTTTGTTTTCTTACAACTAAATAGAAAATAATTTCATTTTCTTTCAAGAGGATTTCTCAAAAAAAGTGTCTTTGGCATTTTAAAATTTCTGAACCCGAGAAAAGCACAAGAATATTTTTTAAAGCTTTAACATTTCTGTTATTTTTAAACTTTAATCTGGTAATCTGGGGATTTTATGTATAATTTAAATTAGGATTCAGAGAAAATCATCCAAAATCTTGAAAATTTAATTTCTTTATATTGACAATTGAGAAGATAGCTTCTCAAAAATAATTATTAATCACAAAGGCTACTAGAGACCAAGAATGATAAGAATAGTATATATAGATGAAAGCCTCTTTGTTTGTTTTTTTGGTCTTGCAGATTGATCTTTTCAAGAAAGCAGGATGGACCATAGTTACTCCTCCAATACCAGTCATTCCAGATGGTATGTTTACTTTTATGTACTCACAGACTAAACTGATTACTTCAGTGACCAAGAATCTTCCACCTATAGATAGCAGCCCAAATTTTTAGAAATTCAGAGAAAACATTTCCCCAGTAAGGAGTGAACTGGCGCTTAGAACTACGGAGACTAAAACAAAGCTGCACTTGTGTTTACCCTCTCCTTCCACAGAAAATGAGAGTGAAAAGCTGGGGAAAATCAGTATAAAATAATATCTCATAAAGCAAGAAAGGACTTCGTAAATAAAACAAAGTGAAATCCACATGTGTAATGAGTATAAATTGATTTATAACATTTATAAATTGCCTTAAGATAAAAATTTTGTAGGGAAAGTGAACTCTGAAAATTGAACTGTCACTTTAATGTTCTTCACTTTCAAATCCTTGATATAAATAAAAATGATTGCAGACACAATTTAAAAGTTGTTGCTATTTTTAGATCACCCACTCTGGATGTCATCCAAATGGCTTTCCATGAATGTCTTAATGCTAGATGAAAAACGTGTTATGGTGGATGCCAATGAAGTCCCAATTCAAAAGATGTTTGAAAAGCTGGGTATGTACAATATATGAAGCATGTTGTCATATATGAAGAATTGAAGAAATGACAAGCTAGGTTTGATGTATGCTTTATCTAATTCCTTTTCTGTTCCGTTTCGAGGTACCAAGTTGTTATTTTGTAGATGGACAATATTTTTGTTTTCAACAACATAACCTCAAAAGGTTGGAGATGCATCCCAGGCCCCTCAGTCTCCCCCCTAGCAATAAGTGTACCCATCTTCTATGACTTACCTAACCTCCTGGGGCCCATGTGTGGAGAACTGCCCCTTTGTAGTTGAGCATATACATTATTCAGCCCTTCCCCGAACAAGAAATTATTGAGGGTACTTTAAAATAATTTAATGTCATTACATACTATAAATGACATAAGGGTACTGACACATAAGTGACTTATATGTACGATAAGCACAGTGAACAAAGTAATGAAATGCAATAGAGGATGTCAGTAAATCATCTTTGAACTAAAAAGCAAAACTGATTTTTATTTAGGTAGGAGTTTGCTTATCCTAATATTCAAAATATGGATCAGGTATTCTAATACTATGGAGGAAAGTGTTGAAAGAAGGGATTTTCGCCGAACCGGTTTGGCTCAGTGGATAGAGTGTCAGCCTGCGGACTCAAGGGTCCCAGGTTCGATTCCGGTCAAGGGCATGTACCTGGGTTGCGGGCACATCCCTACTGGGGGCTGTGCAGGAGGCAGCTGATCGATTTCTCTCATCAATGTTTCTAACTCTCTGTTCCTCTCCCTTCTTCTCTGTAAAAATTCAATAAAATACATTTAAAAAAAAAAAGAAAGAAGGGATTTTCATATAGCTGTTATATAGAGTACAGAAGTATGTGTGTTGATCACTAACATACTTGACATATCTTGAGTGTTAAATAAAGCCAGGTAGTTCACTTGTTGTAATTGAGTCATGTTTTGATTTATTTCAGGTGCACTACCCCAAAAAAATTTTTGACCCTTTTAACACATCTCTCCTTAATGTAATCTATAATAATAAAAGTGTAATATGCTAATTAGACCAGATGTCCTTCTGGACAACCTTCCAGACAAAACCAGGGCTTCGAGGAAAGCCCAGGTTCCGGGTGCCTGCGGCGGCTGGAGGAAAGCCTGGTCCTGGGTGCCTGCTGGCAGCCGAGGGAAGGAAGTCCTACTCTTGCACGAATTTCGTGCATTGGGCCTCTAATATCAGTATAAAAAGAATTGGCCTATCAGAGTCAAATTGAGCCCAATCTAATGATTTAACCCCTAATCCAACCCCCCCCCCCTTCATTAAGTAACCCAATTGCTTGGGTTCAGTTTCTTTATCCATTAAGACTTTATTAATTCTCAACTTAAAATATTATCAAGTACCAAAGATCTGATTTACAATGGTTTGTGTTTTTTTTTGTAATAAAGTCTTTTTAGACACAGGGAACTTGTTAAGCAAACCTTTTCAAGTAATTGAATTTTCTCCAATTCAGGATTAATATGGATCTAGAAATCTGAGTAAGATAGCTACAGCTATCAGGAAACATATGCTTGTATTTGAAAGCTCACCCCTTATCCCAAGCCTCCTCCTTACCTCTGTCCTACCTACTCTTACTCTTCAAAGCCCTGCTCAGTCTCACTTTCTCAGGTAAGTCTTTCCGATGGCTCCTGCTGCCTTCCCCTGCCTGACCATACCAATGGAACCTTTAGTGACTCTGTAGCTGATTTTTCCCCCTCAAAATAATGGGTTCTTGAGGGAGGAGAACAGATTTTCTTTTTAAAACCCCATTATGCCAACCACAACAGATTCTTCCTAAATACCACTGGTTGATTTGGCACATCATGGCCTTGTCAATACAAATAGTGCCAGATTAAACTAATTAATTGTCTCAGTACCTTTGGTACCGGTATGACCATACAACCGGATATTAAAATATGAGTTCTGGCCTGGCTGGTTTGGCTCAGTGGATAGAGTGTTGGCCTGGGGACTGAAGGGTCCCAGGTTCGATTCTGGTCAGGGGCATGTACCTTGGTTGCGGGCACACCCCCAGTGGGGGATGTGCAGGAGGCAGCTGATCGATGCTTCTCTCTCATCGATGTTTCTAGCTCTCTATCTCTCTCCCTTCCTCTCTGTAAAAAATCAATAAAATATATTTAAAAAAAATAAAATATGAGTTCTGTTTCAATGTTTCCTTAAGGTGGCCTGGTATAAACTCAGTCATATCAGATAAACTTTGCTTGTATGTAAGTAAAGTCAACTTTTCAGGTTGGGTAAATTATACTTTTCCTACTCAATTGACCTGGTAAAATTAGAAGCAGTCTGGCAAAATAGTTACAGCATAATTCTAAAGGCCTGGAAATATTAGTGCTTGATTGTTTTTTGAACATTTGACAGACATATCTGCTCATCCTACCTATTGTCTTGTGAATAGTCAGTGGCACAAAATAGAGTTCAGAATCTTTGCTGACTTTTTGGTGACTGTTTTATATAAGCAGTGGAACAGATCAGATAAAATATAATTGGTGAAAATAAAATTGAAAGACTCCCCTGGGTTGGGGTAGACTTAAGGATCAGAACTGTAGGCTTCCTGCCCTCTTTAGGCTTACTCCCTATAGGAGAATCTTCATGTGAACCCATCTAACTGGCCACGTCTCTCTCGTTCAATGCAGGTATCAGCACCATTAAGGTTAACATTCGTAGTGCCAATTCCCTGGGAGGAGGCTTCCACTGCTGGACCTGCGATGTCCGGCGCCGAGGCACCCTACAGTCCTACTTTGACTGACCACACTTGATGGGGCTTGTGGCGTAGGGACAAGGTTCATTTTCCTGCTTTAAGAAGTACATGAACTATAGTGCTTTAAACAATCATATCCTTAACAGGGGTCTTAAGCCTTCATTTTCTTTGTTACGAGGAAAATAACTTGTGCTATGTCTTACTTTCTGCTCCTAAATTTATTTGCTATTTGGCTTCAAGCATATAGTAACTTGGCCACTAATATTTAACCATCTACCTCTGTTTTTAATTTTCTTTCCAAAAGGCAGCTTGAAGTGTTAGTCCTAATCTTCACTTTTTTTTTTTTTTTTTACTTTTTGTTACACTTGTGAATGATCGTATCACTTCTTTTTTCTTAATGAAAGATTTAGAATATTCACAAATCTTAAGTAGAACCAGATAATTGTCTCTTTTTCTAATGAATTTTGGTAATTTTTATTTGTTAAAAAAAATAACCTAGACTGTACAAACATTTAAGTAAATTTTCCATGAATGTTTTTAATATTCTCATCTCAACAGTGGTGATGTTTGCTACTAAAAACCTTTCCATACAACTTACCTCATTTCAAGTGATTTATTTTCATCTCTTTTTCTTCTCTGATTATAATTTTATAGAAATATTTAGTGCAGTAGGATATAACTACCAGTTCCCATCTCTAAATTTTGATATTCAGCATCGAATGGATATACTACACCTTTTGGTAATCTAAGATTTGTTTACAGATGTGCAAATTATTTAAAGTGCAGACTTTAAAGACATTAAAAACTAACAGAGGTAAAACCTACATGTGATATGAAGTAATTTTAATGTTGAATACTGTATGTGTATTTTTATTCTAATAAAGTTTTGTGTTACAGAAAATGGATTTTATTAGAGTTTGGTGTCCATCTAATTATTTTGAGCGAATTACAGGATGTAACTCTTGGGACAGAATTCTTATGCTCTGATATAATCAATATAGTCGTCTCTAGTAGATAAAAATTTAAGCCTAATTCTTGTATTCAGAAATGTTTAGCAGAGCCCAATTTTGTTTATTAATTTACTCATTCAAAAATATCTGAATGTCTTCTGAATATAAGGGACTCATCCTAGGCCCCAGAAAAAAAAAAAAAGAGTCTCTGTTCAAGATGCTAAATGTTTTGACTAATGAAAAACCTGGGGGGCGGGAGATAGGTTTCAACCATGCCCTTGCCAACACTTTTGCTCCTGTGTATCCTGCTGTCTTTTTCGTCCACCACAGAAACACCTATCAGTCCTACACCTGGACTGACTCCTGCTTTAAAAAAATCTATATGGCCGAAACCGGTTTGGCTCAGTGGATAGAGCATCGGCCTGCAGACTGAAAGGTCCCAGGTTTGATTCCGGTCAAGGGCATGTACCTTGGTTGCGGGCACATTCCCAGTGGGAGATGTGCAGGAGGCAGCTGATCGATGTTTCTCTCTCATCGATGTTTCTAACTATCTCTCTCCTTTCCTCTCTGTAAAAAATCAATAAAATATTTTTTTTAAAAATCTATATGATTGTGTGGATTGGGGCACACTTGGGGTATACATTCCCCGGCCAAAATACTACTTGATCATGCTATTTACACACCCTCCACATTCTCCTCAGTGTCTATTCCAAACCTTCACTCTGTTCTCTTACTTGATCATATTACTTCATTTTTCACAGAAAAAAATGGCAGCCATCATGTGTCAGTTCCCTCAGCTTTTCTGTTCCAATCCTGTACAAATTGATTTGCATTTGCATTCTCTGGTTAAAGTTATTTTTCTCCTTGCCTTTACTAGCTAAATTTCTAAAGCTTACTTCTCAACCCTCTACAAAGAGTCACTTTTCTCACTGATGCAGAAAAAGAGACAAATGTACCAACCAGGTCTATTCCATACAACTTTGATTCTAATTTCTCTTTCAGCTATATCAGCTATATTTTCTACAACTCCAGTGTGTGTGTGTGTGTGTGTGTGTGTGTGTGTGTGTGTCTGTGTCTGTGTCTGTGTTTTCCCTCAGCAAATAATCAAGCTCAAAATAATATTCAAACAAAAACTATGGCAACTTCATTTTCCTTTAGAGTTAAGCTTCCAGAATACATCCACTATCTCCACTATTTCACCTTTTATGTATTCCTCAATCTCCTGCTATCTGATTTCTACCTTAGCACTGCAAAGTACTGATGATATCTTTGACCTGACCTCTCAAGTGTCATTTCCAGTGGATTCTATTAATACCACTCTTCCATCTCCTTTGTTTTGTCGTTAATCCTTGCCCAAGGATATGTTCCCATTGATTTTTAGAGAAAGAGGAAGGAAAAGACAGAGGGAGAAAGAGGAAGAGAAACAGAAACATCTATGTGAGAGAGAAACCTTGACTCCTTGCCTCCCATACGTGCCCCGACAGGGATCAAACCCACAATCTGGGCAGGTGCCCTGACTGGGAATCGAACCTGAAACCTTTTGGTGTACAGGACGATGCTCCAACCAATTAAGCCACCTGGCCAGGGCTCTCCCATCTCTTTTTATTAATATTCAAGTTCCTTCTCTAAATTATTTTCCTCCTCCTCTTAAGAGGTGGATGTCCTTGGACCTTCTCTCTTCTCTTAAGATCCTGGGTGGTCTCATCTGTGCATAGGTCTTCCCCATCCACATATCTACTAATAACTCCCACGGGCCATGTGGGAGGAGGCCCTGTGCCTAGACTTATATATAGTCTTGCCCTATCTTAAGCTCCAGGTCCTGTTCCCAACTGTCTGTCTGTGACTGGGCAGGGGCTGGCCAAGAGCAGGTCTGCCTCAGGCCAGCCTGTAGGGTCCTTGACTTCGTGTAGGAAAGATTTCGCAACATGAGTCCAGATGGCTTTGAGAGTATGTGCATTAATGCTGAGGACAGTGAAACAAAGGAAGAAACTAGAGTAGAAGAAACAACAGTGAAGAGAGAGCCTAGAACAGGGGTGGAGCTTTTCTCCACAAGTACCTGTACTCACCATACCGCATGACTACCACCTTACATCATATTTATAGAATGACTGCCAGGAACAAAAATGCTAAGAGTTTATTTGATCTGGTAATATGTATTATTTCATATCCAAGTTCAGGTAAGTCCCAAGGGCAATTTCCAATATTGTTCAGTAAGTTTCCATTATTAGGATACAGTGAACTAGCCTAATAATTTTCTATTAAAGGTTTTGGTGAGTTGATTGTAGAGCAGGAACTCAACTAGCTTTGCCGACAAAGACGTAGTCCGAATAAAGAGTGGTAAAGAAGGGAACCCAATCTTTCTTACACACAATGGTGTACTGAACTTTTCCACTGAGGCCCTGGAAAATGTTCCCTTTAGAGAAGCACTGAAATGAAAAGGCAAAGGATGACATAGTGGTTCAGTTTTAATATAGAGCAACAAGACTGTCAGTATGTTTTGCTAAGTAAGTGGAGGTGAAGCCTTCAGCAATGACGAAGTGAATAAACTATGTATTTTCCCTTTTATACCTCAAATTATACCAGTAAGGAACTCTGTAAAATGTGTTAGAATTGGTTCCTTTCTTTCTTTTCCCATGCTTCCTACTTAACTCTGCACCTGCTGGCAAACTCACTCCCCAGGCTTTGTTGTAATTTAGTTCATGCTTTGTAATTTCTATGGTGAGTCTTCGTCCTAAAAGTTAAGTTAGGTATCCTCAGGCCCCTTTACTTCTGAGCGAGAGAAGACCCAGGCTTAATGTCTGGTTGGTTGGGTAAAAATAGTCATTCTTTCAGATTCTGGATGCTAATGCCTTCTTTATGGAGCCTTAGGCAAACAGTTAATTCTGGTTCTGAAGGAAGTCAGTATGAACCACTCGTGTTTTGTTCATTTGGGCAGAGTATATACATTGGTGATGTGACTACAACTCATTGTGAACAAAAAATTGTTTATTTTTATATTATTATTTTACTACCTTTGGCCCTAATGATGACACAGATCCACAATAAAAATAAAATGTTTTGTTCTGTTTTGTTTTTGAAAGGCCAGGTCAAGATTATTCAGCTCAGAATGGGCCAAAAGGACTCATTTGGAGAACTGGGTTGCCTTCCCTGGTATTAACCTGCAAACTCAACAGGACAGCATCCTATAACTTTCCCTGGATGGAATCAGGGTTGTAAACACAATACCTCTATTGTGACTGCCATTTATTTGCTGTTGACTTTCAACTCTAGATTTCCAGTTCTGACTTCCTGTTTCAAGTTCTAAATTCCAACCTTCTTTGTTCTGGCCTGTGTGGCTCAGTGGGCTGGGGCATCATCCCATACTCCAAAAGGTGGAGGGTTTGATTCCTGGTCAGGGTACATACCCAGGTTTCGAGTTCAATCCCTGGTTGGGCTGCATACAAGAGGCAACTGATCGATGTTTTTCTCTCATATCCATGTTTCTCCCTTTCTCTCTCTCTCCCTCCCTCTCTCTAAAACAGCGGTTCTCAACCTGTGGGTCGCAACCTCTTTGGTGGTCAAACAACCCTTTCACAGGGGTTGCCTAAGACCATTCTGCATATCAGATATTTACATTACGATTCATAACAGTAGCAACATTACAGTTATGAAGTAGCAACGAAAATAATTTTATGGTTGGGTCACAACATGAAGAACTGTATTTAAAGGGCCAGAAGGTTGAGAACCACTGCTAAAATAGTAATAAATAAATACAGCCCGACTGCCTTTTTCATCTCTACCTGAGTGTTCTGGGTGTCCCACAGCTATCTCCAACCCAGCATGTCCAAAATTGAATCAACTTATATCCTCCCTCATGCCCCCCCCCAGAACTATTCCATATTTCTCTGAATGAATAGTAAATATCCTTTTAGAATCAAGCCATAATTAGAGAACATTCCAGATCCCTTCCTCCCTTTACTCTCCCTTCTCACTCATCTAACTCGTGGTCAATTGTATTGATTCTACTTGAGTCGGTGTATCAGGCATCTCCATACTCATAAAGTTACTACTGGTTGTCGGGTTGCCTAGAAGCAGAGTCTCAAGAGAATTTAGGTTGCATGTGATCTATTGAGGGAGCGAGTTTCAAGAGAAACACCTAAAGGAGGGAGAGAAACAGACTAAGGAAAGGAAAAGAGCCCACCTAACAAAGATGTAGTCTCAGGTAAAGTCTAGCCTGGTCTGGTCCACAGGTAAGGGATCTGAAGCATTAACCACACAGCAGAATTACACCCCCTTGAGGCAAGGGGGCCAATCTCTTGTAATCCCCCCCCCATAGATATTGGCTGAGGGCAGTGGTTGAAGAGGGTGTCATAACTTCCTGGGGAAGGCGGCCACAGTCAATGGTGGGTAATTCACTGGAGAAAGGGGCAGCTGTGAGCCATTCGCAGCAGCCACAGTCACTGCTGGGGATGAGGGCTGGGCCCCCGCCTGGTGAAAGATCTGGGCAGGGCACCACAGTGTCTACCATGCCAGCCCTCATCATCTCTCACTTGAACTACTGTAGCAGACTTCTTGTTGGAATCCCTACCTCTAGTCGCAACCACCTCTAATTTACCATCCACACTGCAACAACCAAGATGATCTTTCCAAAAAGAAAATCTGATCATTCATCTCTCAAAATTATAGAGAAAAAAAGCTAAACTTCTTAATTTCACAACAACCCTTCATGCTAAGACGTTATCCTACCTTCCTAGCCTTATTTCCTATAACTCTCTTCACCCACTTACACTTCATGGCTATCTCATACTCACACACATATAAGTACATGACTGCCCTGGCCAGTGTAGCTCAATTAATTGTAGTATTGTCCTGTACACCAAAAAGACCTGGGTTTTATTTGGGTCAGAGCACATACACAGATTGTGGGTTCAACCCCCAATTGGGGCATGTGTGGGAGGCAACTGATCAATGTTTAA